GCCCCCCCCCCCGCCCCCCCATCAGTCCATCACGTTACCACGAGACTCACACTGGACAGACACGAATGTGGGGTGTCCGCCCCCCCAAAATAAAACCCTGTTTGCATCCCCCCCCTCCCTTCTCTCTGTGCCCCAATGGGAGGTGGGGGGCACCAGGAGGCCTTGCTGGGATCTCACCTCCCCCCCCCGCAGTGGGAAGGGGTGGGAAGGGGGGAGAGAGGGGCTGGAGGGAGAGGGGCAGCCCCCCCCCACCCCCCCAAATCGCTGCGGTTTGAGGGTGGTTTAAGTCGGGTTGGAATTTTTCAAGGTCTGCAGCTTGGCCTCCAGTTCGGAGATCTGAAAAACAGCAAAGGGGAGAGGTCTCAGAGGGGGGGGCGGGGGGCACGGAGGGGATGTGGGGAGGAAACGTGGGGCTGGGGAGGGACAAGAGGAGGGGGACACCGTGTGTTGAAGACGTGGGATCGGAACGTGGGGACGGGGATGGGGGGACAGAACCTGGAGGACGCAATGGGGGGAACACGGAGATGCTGGGTGGGGGACAAGGGGGAAAGGATGGGGTCACGATTAAGGAGGAACAGCATGGACAGGGGAATGGGGTGGGGTGTTGGGGGGACAGTGTGGGATTGGGGGGCGGGGATGGGGGGCTGCAGCCAGCTGGTGGGTGAGAGGCTGTGTGTCATCTGGGGGTGTCTGAGGAGGGCATCATGGAAGAGAGGGGCACGTGGAGGGTCCCCTGGTGCCCCCCGGCCCCACACCGCAACCAATGGCACTTCCCAGGTGCTCTGGGCTCCTGGGGGATGCAGTGACCCCGTAGGGGATCTGCTATGACCCAGCACAGCTCTCTGATCCCCGGTTGGGATCTGGTGGAGCCAGCTTGGAATCCAGTGTGACCCGTGGTGGGATCCAACATGACCAGCATGGGACCCGGCTCCAGGCTGAGGATCAAGCGTGACCCAGAGCCTCACACACATCTGCCAGGACCCACTGCGGGATCCCATGAGCGCAGCCCAGGATCCGGTGCCCAAGACAATCTCTTTAGGTCCATGGGGGGAAACGTCAGACCCTGCAGCAGGATCCAGCACAGCCCAACATCTGGGCGGATCCACCGCGATCCCGTGCGGCATCCATCCATGCCAGGAGGAGGATCGGGCGCACGGCAGCCCCCAAACGGATCCCCTCGATCCGGGAAAATGGGAGCAGAATCCGGTGGGTTGGGCAGATCCATTGCTGCCCAACGTGG